TTAATAGCTAAATTAATACTTTTCAGATATTAGGATCAAATTATGACAATTCACCAACTAAAAATGGAGAACATTCATAGTAAATATTATTCATAATTAATACATCAAGCATCTATAGTTGGCACCCATTTAGTTTCCAAAGCAATAGTGAGATATGAAGAACCAAATCTAAGCTGTTATTGTTTTCACAATTCAGGTAATTTTGTCCATTATAAAGAAAAGTGTTAAGGCTAGATATGTAGTAGGGTTTTGCTCAAATGTCCCATGTTTGCTTAAGAATGGTGTAGCTCTACATTTGGTAGAATCCGTTTTATTCTGGTGTACACAGCTTGTAACTTTCCATAAGTATAATGTCTAATGCTGTTCAGGGTGGAATGAATTGAAAGGGTTTCCATTGGTGTAAACCACTGAAAACAATAGAGCTATGCCAATGCACTACAGGTACGGGTCTGATGTAGGCCACACCTAAGCTTAACCAATATAGCAATGACAAGCTGCAAAAGTGTAGCTAAGCAGAAGGCCCCACAGCCTGTGTTTGAGCTATCATAATGTGAACCTTTGCAGATGCCTACTAGCTTGGTCAGCAAAGTAAAAAAAAACAAACCCAAAACATACATCAACATGTTTAACAAATCATAATTAAACAAAGCACAACGCCTGAAAGAAGACAGTGTAAAAAGAGACATTACATTATATTATGGCTTTATCTTAAAACATTAGAAGTAGTAATTGATGTAACCAAACATATTAAATGTTATTGTACTATAATAGATCATTTTTACATGCTTAGATTATTTGTTAAAAAAAAAAGAAAAAAAGCAGCCTTGTCAGAGATGACCATAAACTAGGGTAAACAAGTAAAAAGCCAGTGTTAAACAGCATTCCACGGTGCAGAAGAAAAGGAGATAAGAAACCCTCCCTTTTACTTTTCCAAGGATGTATATATCCCAACTAATTGACACAAGTCCATAAGAGATCTGGTTCAAACCAGTTCTAAAAGTTTCAACGTTTCAGAAAAACAAAGACATTTAAATAAACCACTCAAAGATCATTTATTAAAACCAAGCAACTATAAATATTGGGGATAGGTTAAAAAAAACTTGGGCTTTGCTAAAGCTCAACAGGGGCTGGACCCCAAAGTCCCCAGGGGAACAGAGAAGCTTGGCCAGTGGAACTGTATTTTTTTCCCCTGAATACAAGACTACATAAGCATTGCCTTTACTGATACAAATAAACCTTTGCTTTTGCATATCCTAATAAAGCTTTCAAGTTGTGATTGGAATGGTCTCAGTGGTCATCAGCCTCTTCTCACCCACAGTTGAAATTTAGAGCAACACTGGCCCCTGGTAGTTAAAGTGCCTGTACTCATCAGCTCCTTGTCTCTTTTAGAATTATAAATAGCTACTATAAATTATAAATAATTATTAATAAGATTGTTGCTACCAGTGGTGGAAAAGCATTGGTGTTAGGATCCATGTAAAATTTCAGAAGAAAAAAAATGCTGAGGTTAAGTTTGTGCATTTTCAGGAAAAGGAATTGTTGTTTAGAGAAGAACTTGAAACCACCAATCAGGCAAAATTTGACATCAATGAAACACAGAAGATGACTTTAGAGGTCAATATTTATGTATGAAATAAATGGTAGAGAGATTTCACTCTACACATTATTTAAAATTATTCTTTTGGTTATTAGTTCTTTTACTTATTAGTTTCTGTTGAAAGAATGAACTGATTAACTATTACATTTATTAAATAATTAGAAAACAGAGTGCCACTGTACTAACTGTACAATAGGTTGCTTACTTATGATACACAATACTAAATTGACATTCCAGTATTATCAGCCCTGATAGAGCTCATGCTCTCCAAAGTCAGAATAAAAGTGGATATATTTTTGTATTTTTAAATATGAGACAATAAAGGAGGGAAGACTGGGTGTAGTCAGAAGTATGTGGCTGCATGTATTGCATTTTTTCATAGAGAGCAGAATCTTGAATTAAGAATCTTTAGTGGGACTTTGTTGTTCCAAATAGATATATGTATTTAATAAAAATGAGTAAGTTATCACAAGAATGAAAAAAGTGGTAGAAAAGGCAAAAAATGAAAACTGTTATGGTATGGTAAACAACAAAGCAGCAGCCCATATTTAGGTTTTTTTTAGCATCTTCACTTTGCAGGAACAGGGACCTATTTGCAAGCTCTTGGAAATTCAGATCTCGGCATCTGAATGATGTTGACTTGTCAACATATCAAAAGAGACTTGATAGTAGAGTTCTGAGGACAGGAGACTCTGGTATGGCAATTTATAGTAACAATCAGCATGGGAAGGTCTCTTGGCCCAGAGCCAGGAACTGAAACTGGATTCTGTCAACTTTTTGGTGGCTTAAACTGAAATTAAACTGGAACCAAAGATTTGTTATGTCAGGAAACTACACAGAAAAATCACCACCCTTCAAGTTTAAACAGATCTGTCTAATGAGATAAGGACAACCAATTAGAAAGGAAAATACCATCTCTGGAGAACAGTTAAGACTAATGGAATTCACAATTTGACAATGTCATTATTGTGGCTAGTGATTTAATTGATAGAACAGAACTTGAGCTCTTCAAATTTACTTGACAAAAGGCTTTGATAGTTCTAGAGATTGTTTTTCATTACTGCAATGAGTTGTTGTAATTAGCAATCTCTGTGTTGAACTTGATAAAATATATAAAATGGATTACTGTAACATTTGGGTTATTCAGTTAAATGTCACACATGAACAAAAAGAATAATTAGAAACTCCAAAAATTAAATTTTCAAAAGCAATTCTAACCTCGCTTATTACATATATATGTATATAATAATATATGTATGTATGGCAATTGAGAGCCCAAACATAACATGACCTGGGGGTAGGCCATTTCCAGATCTTCCAGTAATAATAATAATAGTAATAATAATAATAATAATAATAATAATAATAATAATACATGACAGTGTGATGTGGACAGGGCATGGACAGGACATGGAGACGTGCAGAGACTCATGTTAGATTCCACAGCACAGCTAAGATAAAGGAGATGTAGTGAGTTTAACTAGGCATCCTTAGATTACACCCATACTTTTGTGACCGTGGGAGCTCAATCATCATTTTGGATACCCTTGTAGAAAAAATGAAGGAATTATGTATATTATTTTTTCTAAATATAGCAAACACCTAAATTTACCTATTTAATATTCAGGGGAAAGGTTCTTCAATAGGCAGTTACAATTTATAATTCATTAAATATTATTAATGCAACATTCAGTTTCAGAGATCAAGAACTGGAAAACCATTAAATATTGGTCAGTGGAGCTGTTTGTGTAAATCAGGGCAGAATTCAGCACATGCTGAATACTATGATAAATTATTGCTGTATTTATATATAAAAATGAAAAACTGTTAAGCCATTGCCATATATGGGGTTATATCATTACATAACTTGTATAATCATTATACAACTATAAAACTGAGGAAAAACAAGGATGATCATATTTATATGCATGTACATTGTGTCCTGTAATATCTTAGATGCCAATCCTGCACACATGCATGCATTTGCAAAATATCAAGCAGATGAGTTGTTTCATTCACTTCAATGTAACTGTTCATCAGCTCACAAATAAGCATGTGTATAAGAGTACTGTAACAGGGGGCCCTCCCGGGGCCGGTTAGATGTTGGCCCACCCACCTGTTTCTGGGCTAACCGCTTGCCTCTCTCTCCTGCCACATCTTGATGACAAATGATTTTGACGTTATTCAGGTAGGAGGCCACCCATTTAGGACCCAATGAGTAGGGGTGATATCCCCAGCTGTAAACCTTCCCCTACGCTGGGATCCATGCCTCGCAGATGGCATCCCAGGCAGCTAAGCTCACCTGTAATACTTCTCCCCCTCAAGCTGTGGTCCCCTCTCTGGGACCTTTGGCTCCCCCTTAGGCCCTGGCCTCACCCTCAGGCTAGTCAAAATCCCAAGCCTCTTGCTTTGGGCATCCCATGCGGTGGACCCATGGCCCTTTGGCCCCCCTTGGGTCCTAGCCCCAGCATGGACCAGTGCAAGGGTCCATCCAATCAGGTCTGAGCAGCTTGCCTTCTCTCCCTCACAACTTGACTGCATCAAGAGAGCCGCAGACCTCTCAAAGATCTCCCAGGTCTGGGCTTTCCCCAGCCAAGAATGTGTGGGGGCTGGAGGTTATCAAGTGCCCCCTACCCTTCTTTCACCAGGGAGGTTCATGGTCCTGGCATTTCCTGGGGCTGCTGTGAATCCAGAAGTCCCACCAGGCCTGGCAGGGTGCAGTTTTTGGTCATGCCCAGGACCTGGGGCCTCCTCCATCCCCATAGCCCCGGCTCATACGTCCAAGTTGTTTCTGGCCCATGGAGTTCAGCAGGGAGATGTTCTAACCCTGTTGGCCAGTCTCAGTTGCCTCCTCTTAGCAGAGAGAGCTGAGCATTAAATGGCCTCCCTCATCACTCAGGCACCTGCCATCTCTCTGACCTAAAGTGGCAGGCACCAACAATGCCCTGCCAGAAGTACCTTGGATTATAGTTTAGAGATTTCAAATTATAGCACATTAACCTTGTTTGTTTAAATAGCATTTTGTTGGACTCCACTGGAATTGTATTTAGCACATCATTGCAAAGCATTTCTGCACTTTGGATATAAATTCCAGATAAGGAATTTAAAATACATATTTTTATGAAGTAAGTGTATTAAAATAAATAAGTTATTTATAACAAAAACCAAAATGTAAAAATTACAGTTGGGAGAATGGATCTTCTAAATAAAATCTCATATGTCAAAAATGGAATTTTTTATTAATCCTTAGGGGTCTGTCAATCAATCAAACTATTGCTTTCAGACTCCCTGAACACATTTTATTCATTAAAGGGCAAGCAAAAGCTTCCACATTTTACAGTAGATAAAACTAACTGCTTAAAGGAATATTTAGCACAAACTGCAACATCTGCAAAGTACTTACCACAGTTTGATGGTTGACCTGGATCACCTCATCCCCTGCATGAATCTTTTTACACTGGTCTGCAGGAGACTGAAAGGCAAGAGATAACAGGTAACTTGGTGGCTGTAGAGGACCAGAGTCTAACAAGTAAAAAAAAGAAGGGCTATGATCAAGAAAAATCTTTTCTAAAAACAACAGTGAAATTGTATTTATAAAGGTGCTATGATTCCTTTTCCAGCCATGTGCGAATACTTACAACATGGCTAGGTATTTTAAAACCCCCTTCACACTAGTTGTAATCTCCACTGAGCTGTAACCAACCTTATGGCTCACCTCCCATTCACCTACACACAATTTAACTTGAATTGGGTTGCTCTTGCAAATATGAGGTCAGGGTTTCAAGCAATTCAGTCTCAATCCTGGGTAAGAATATGCACAACTGAACGGAAAGGTTCTGGGCAATATATGCTATAGCTGGTGTCTCCATTTTGTTATTTAAATAAATATAGCTGCGTCAAAATGTTGGAAAGCATCAATATAACCAAGAAAAACAAACAATAAAGTTTTAGCTGTGGTGTCTTTCTGAAATGGGAAATATCTGCAAACTTGACTCTTATATGGATATGGATGACTTGCAATTGAGTAAGCGAGACAGGAGGAGTAGGCAGGCTCCTGGGGAAGTCCCAGGGGATGACGTGAGAAAAAGAAGAGAAAAGTCTCTGGGGATCATTGCCCATGTTGTGCAGATAAGACTATTTTTTCTGTTTTATCTAAATGCTTGTTTCATCAATAAATTTTAGGTAAGGCAAAAGCAGCAAATTATGGTATGGTTCTGTCCTTCCTGGGTCTGTGAACTCTCTAACGGACATACTCTTGTTTAACAACATACAGAAAATGGTTTAGCTTTGTTCACAGGCAGCATAAGATTTATTGATTGTAACTGAAAGAACATATTAAGATTTAGATTGCACTGGTATCAGGTAGCCAAGTAGCAGGAGCTCTTGTTATTGTAAGTCCAAAGTTCTAAGATATAACACAATTAAGTTTATGACATTATTTTGTGATAATCATTTTATAATTTGAGGCTGACTTAAATATAGACTGAAATTTTATTCTAGAATAACTTTTTCTCAATAATGAATTGAATCCCTGATAAGTGATTTTCTTTGATTTATTTAATGTCTTAGATCTCAGATTCAGCAAGGCATTTAGCAGGACGCAGCTAACTGCTTTGCTGACTCAGACTAACAGAATATAACAGACACAAACACACACAGACACATTGTATGCCACAAGCTGTATACAAATGCCACAAATTGAGATTAAATAAGGGAAGGAAGGTTTAATATTCCTTTCTAAGGTGTTAGTGCTAAAGACTTCCTTGAACTCAGAGGGAAAGAGGCACAGACTAAGTAATATTTTCCTTATGTTTACATGCTCCAGGCTTTGACAGTTATTAGGTGCTTGTGGACTTCAAAAGAAGTAATTAAAAAGCCTAAGTAGCCAGGAGTGCAGAGGATATGAAAATCTGTAATTTTTATGCAGTTTTGTACCTCACTGAAATTCCAGTCCTTTCTTTTTGAGAAAGCTAGGTTTTGTGTCTTATGTTATGGGTAGATACAACATGGTCTCTAAGTGAAGTTCTATCACTTCTTCGATGTCTCTAATTGCTCTGTCACATCAGACGTAGAACCATAGGGTGCTTGTACATGTGACGAAAATTGTCTGGTTTTGTGATTTAATTGTCACGCTGTACACGTCCAGGGATTTTTTATGATTTAGATGTCTGCTATGTTGCAAACTAAACCACATCTGCATGTAGTTTAGTTTGCAATGTAGCTATTTGTAACATTGCAGCCTTTGACAGCTCCCCCTTCCCACCACAGGAGAGGCAGACTGAAAACAGAAGCGGTGAGTCACGGCCCGTGTCTCCCATGTCTGCCCATGTCTCCAGTGGCTGGGGGGTGAGCAGCCCCTAAGCTGCAGAGGGTCCCAGTCCTTCCTTCTGTGGTGGCCCAGGTGGACTGCTAGCAGGCGTGTGCTGCCCCAGCTTGGGCTCAGGGAATAGCTGGATCAGGCTAGGTGCTACCTGTGAGCTGGGGCAGCACCCTCCTGCCTACCTGGGTGGCCCCAGAGGGTGTTGCTGCTGTGGAGGGAAGGTCCAACCCCCCTCCCCCCACCCCCCCCGCAACTCAGGGCCCACCAGCAGCATGCTCCTCCAGTTGCAGAAGAGGTGGGCAGGCTCCGCCCCCCAAAGCTCAGGGGTTGCATGGCACAGTGGCAGCTCACGCAGGCAGGCTTCACTGAGGGGAAAAAACAAACAAACCGTGAGGGACCTGCCCATTTTTGCCCCTCCCACAGAGCCTGTCTGCCTCTCCCACAGCTAGGAGGTGAACTGTTGGTGGGCTCTGAGCTGTGGGGGGCCCCAGACTTTCCCTCCATGGTAACAGCGCCACCCAGGCAACACCTACCTGCTAGCAGGCCACCCAGGCAGCCTCGGGGGTACCACCACTGCGAAGGGAAGCACTGGGACCCCCGCAGGTCAGGGGCTGCTTGGCCTGCTGGCAGCTCATACCCCAGCTGTGGGAGAGGTGGGCAGGCTCTGCAAGGGGAAAAAAAAAAGGATTGGGTCCCTCACCATAACAGTGATGGAAGCCCCTAAATTGAAAGGTGGGTTTTTAATCATCACAGTTAAAAACACACCATTTCAATTTAGGGGACTAAACCCCCATCACGTGTACAAGTGGCCATAGAAAATTAGAGTTGAAAAGGACCTCAGGAAGTCATCTAGTCCGACCCCCTGTTTAAAGCAGGACCATCCCCAACTAGATCAGCCCAGCCAAGCCTTTGTTTAGCTGGGTCTTAAAAACCTCCAAGAATGGAGATTCCACAACCTCTCTGGGCAACCTGTTCCAGTATTTTGCTACCCTCCTTGTGAAAAGTTTTTTCCTAATATCTAACCTAAACTTCCCTTGCTGCAACTTGAAACCATTGCTCCTTTTTCTGTTATCTGCCACCACTGAGAACAGCTTAGCTCCATCCTCTTTGGAACCACCATGCAGGTAGTTGAAGGCAGTTATTAAATCCCCCCTGTTTTTTATTCTGTTTTAGTAAGGTGTTCAACTCTGTTGGACACACTGCTCTCTGGTGCCTTTTTGCAAAGTTTGGCTGCCCAGACAAACCAATTAACCTCATTCACTGCTTTCCATGACAACATGCAGGCCCATGTATCAGTGGGTGCTGACTCATCTGATGCTTTTCATGTAGCCCATGGGGTTAAACAGGACTGTATGCTTGCCCCTACATTATTGACTCTGTTCTTGGCTGGAGTGCCAGTAGTTACCTCACGTACTACCAGTATTGGTGTCACCCTAACAACACAATTTGAAGGGACTTCTAAATCTCTACCAATTCAAGGCCAAAAGCAAATACTAACAAAGTAAAGTAAAAGATCTGCTGCATGCTGACCACTCAGTGTGTCACTCTTTCTGAGAATGACCTGCAACATTTACTGAATTCCTTTGCCCAAACATATTATGCCCAATACCACCAGAAATAAAATTGAATGGCAGCCAATTAAACAACATCAAATCCTTTTGCTACCTAGCTAGCACAGTTCCTGATGAAACCAGCTTTCACAAAGAACTTTCAGCACACTTAAAATCAGCTGTCTCAGTTTCTTGTCACCTGCAAAAAACACTGTGGACAAGATGGGAAGTTGAAGTATCTACAAAATGCCAAGTTTACAGAGCTGTTGTGCTTCCCTGACTTTTATACTTGTTAGAGACCTGTCCCCTTTATCATTGCCATATCAAACAATTAACTGCCTGCAAACAACGCCACCTATGCAGCATAATGGGAATTAAAATCTGTCTGGGAATTACGCAGTCTGACAAAATCATGAACAACAAAGAACTATGACTGGCAGCCATGTCAAGTATGGAAGCTATACTAGCACAGAGGCAAATGATCTGGGTCAGTCATGTCATACGTATGGACAACAATCAACTGCCAGTGAAGTTGAAAAAGGGAATAGGAAGGTTGGCTGTCCCAAACTCCACCTCAAGGCCTGCATTAAGCCTGTCAGGTTGGACTTACTCTCCTGGGAAGATATGGCCCACAATAGACGATCTTGGCACTCTGCTATGAAGGAAGCAGAATGAGCAACAGAACATCATCATGCCATCTTGGCCAACAGTAGGAGGGAACATAGTCACCAACTTGTCCTGGCACATCTGCTGAACCCTACATGTTGAAACTTATTTCCAGTAGCAGGAGCAGTTATACTCAAATATGAGTGACAGTCATTATACTTTATATTATATAGTCTTCTGCAGACTACATAAGCCCAGTTCTCTAAGCCTTTCCACAGAAGTCATGTTCCCTAGCCCCCTCACTATTTTTGTGGCCCTCTGCTGGACTCTCCAATTCGTACATATCCTTTCTGTAGTGGGGGGCCCAAAACTGGACACAGTGCACCAGATATGGCCTCACCAGTGCTGAATAGAGGGAAATAATAACATCCCTCAATCTACCGCCTACGCTCCTACTAATGCAGCCCAGTATGCCATTAGCCTTTTTTGTGACAAGGGCACAAAGTTAGTTCGTATTCAGCTTACTGTCCACTTTAACCCTCAGGTCCTTTTCTGCAGACCTGCTGCTTAGCCAGTCAGTCCCCAGCCTGTACTGGTGCATGGGACTGTTCTGTCCTAAGTGCAGGACTTTGCATAAGTCCTTGTTGAACCTTGTGAGATTGCTTTTGGTCCAATCCTTCAATTTGTTGATGTCTCTCCAAATCCTAGTCCTACCCTCTAGTGTATCTACTACTCTCCCCAGTTTGGTGTCACCTGCAAACTTGCTGAGGGAGCACTCCATCCTATATTCCAGGTCACTGATGAAAATATTGAACAAAGTCAGCTCCAGGACAAACCCCTGGGCCACTCCACTTGATACCAACTGCCAGCTAGACATTGAGCCATTGACTACTATCCTCTGAGCCCAACATTCCAGCCAGTTTTCTATCCACTTTATAGTCCATTCTTCCAACTGATACTTCCTTAGCTTGCTAGTGAGAATATTGTGGAAGACCA